GCATACAAATTTGAATGTTTGATGGGAGGAAAAGAAAACTGCTGCTTTCTGGATCTGCTGGTTTAGCAGCTTAGCCAACAGTGAACTGCAACAATAAAACTGACAAAAAAGATCATTTCTTGAGGTTATTATTTCAGATTGTTGTAGTACTCCTCTGTAGGAAAACTTCTTTAATGTTGTTGTTCCTGTTTTGCTAACCCATTACTCTCTGACTTTTAAGCAAGTGCTCAACAAATCAGTGCTCCATGCAGCGATTACGTAATCAGAACCTCATCAATTCACCAGAGGAAACTGGAGTGATTAAGAAGAAACGGGTTCTGCTATTTCTTTCAAACACTCTTGTTTATGGCTAACAGGTGCAAGACAGTCTAAAAGACTAGGTGAAACCAGAAACAGGACGCATCAATTCAGTTCAGAGTTTTAGATGTATGTGTTAATATTCTAAAGAAATACTGCAATAACTTCAAAAACTTACAAAATGAGATAATTTGGCTAGAAAATTACTTGACAGACATCTAAATTAACTGTTTTTAGTCACTATCAGTACTTGTTCTGACAATAATGCACACCATCTGTGGAATAAAAAGGATACTCTACCTCAGCATGAAGTCATGACGAAGACCTTCTTTAATGGTCTTGGCAATGGTTGCGAAATGTGGAAAATGTTCCTTTTCTGAGAGCTCGTCTGCAGTACATCGAAAGCAATTCCTCTGCAGACCACAACACAGCCTTTTGGGCAACGGCTTGAGGAATGACCAATTTTAGCATGAGTCATCCTCTGCAAGTCTCAAATGTTGCACTAAACGCGTCCGATGAAAACACTTTATGGATTGGAATGGCGAGGCCTGCCATGTCCGCACTCACTGAAAACCCACGCCACAGGTTGCAATCATTCAGTTTTCACATCTACTGCACTGTGTTCACATTACCACTGTCATACTTTGCAGATGTTTTCTGAACAAATGCAAAAAAAAAAAAAAAAAGAGATTGACTGATTTGAGACTGGACCCTTCAAACCGTCTGACCACTTAGTGGACTGCTGCTGTAACCGACTCAAATATTGATCTGTTTTATAATCAATCAATGGAGAGTGTCTCAGGGTCAGCAGAGACACTATTACCCGGGGCAGATGTGGATTTATGACTGCACAAGGTTTTTTCCTCATCCTGCACATTTTATTGCCTCTTATTTGTATTTTTTAGCACTTTCTTTTCCCAGTTTCTGCACTGTTAAATCCTACTGGCACGGGTGATATTTGATTTTTTTTTTTTTAGAAGAACATGTTGCACATTTATGCTTGAAATCTCCCTTGTCTGTTCATCATGTTTATTTTCATCACTTTTCCTGAAGCAGGAATTCTTTTATGTATTTTCCAAACATTTATACCTCCTCCTATTGTGCTCATCTGCAGTCTGCCCGCACACTCTTCCTCAGTCTAGTCAGAGATGCCTGGAATTATTTACTGCCTAATGGGTTACAGCAGCTCACACCAGCCCAGTGGTGCTTTACTTTATTTATTGATTCTCATTCCTTTTGTCTTATTGTGTGTGGGTGTGTGACAGTGACCATCTGCGTGTTCGCGCAGGACAAGGACGCAAAGCGAAGACGAAGAAAGAAACCCCAACAACAACAAGGACACTTTGCTCATTTGAGTTACTGGAGAAATGACCTGTGGATTGCAAATTGATTGATATGTTGTTGTTTTTTTTAAGGCTAACGGCTGATTCCACAACAGCACGAGCTTACATCCGTTTAAATGACGTATGCATGCATGTGCCGTACCTGGGAGTGTGTGCAAACACAACAATGACAAACATCAATCTGTGAGGAAACATTAAATATCTTCGAAGTCTGCAATGCTAATGGGCTTTAAGGAACACACATCTTTCAATTAGGAACAAATCAATCGATAGGCGCTGCTGTACAGGTTTTGTGGAGTACATTAAACAGTGCCGAAGAGAACAGCTTTGTGTAAATACATCAAATGACAGTACTGTTGATTTCTGCCACTATTTTTGCTTTTTTATTACTCAGGTTGGTTTTCCTGAATTGAAGCATTACAAAGTTTATTCTTTTCATTGCACTAACAATGGAAATTAACAGTATTTTAAGCAAAATTCTGGTTTCTCTTGTCTCAATTCAAATCTATGGTTTTCACCTGCATAAATGCAAAGCAATTCAAGTTTTTTGGGTGTCATATTCGTGAATGATTGATGCAGGAGAGACTGTTTGGGGAGCAGTCTGTAGTGATATAAAGTTTCTTCTGGTCTGTTGTGGTGAAGAAAGAGCAAAAGTCACGACCCTTACCCGTGGTCTTGAGAAATAAATTATGAACGAAAAGATTAAATCATGGATATGAGCATGTTTTGAGGGCCACTGGGTTCTGAATTAATGATCAGGAGGAACAGGGTAGAGCCACAGCTCTTCCACAGACAAAAGACACCTGATGTGGTTCTACTAACTAATCTGGGTCCAGACCCATGTCCTTTCTGGGTTCTGAACATGTAATAAGCTATAATGACTTATCTTCCCAATGTAATAAAAGTAGAACATGGTGAGTGGATACCTAGCTGTGTGAAAATATTGATGACATGCAGTTTTCTACAAGCACTCCCACTGGCAGTAAATCTTTTATTGAAAATATTGCATCAAATTTGTTTACATTATTTGCAAAATGTCTGCTTTTGGTCAAAAGATAATTATTTGACTTTCTGTTTTTGCTTAAGCATCTTACAGCATTTTAAAAACCTTTGAAAATAACACTATGACAGTAAATATAATAATAATGTTCCATTTCTATTGCATTTGTTATTTGTATGTAAGTTGTTTCTTATCATTTGCTTCATCAGTTGTCAGCCTCAACCATACTGTGAATTCCGCTCTAGTACCTGAAATACATAACTACATGTTTTGTTTTTGTTGGTCATTTTTTACCTTTTGTATTTAAACCAAGTTAGAATAATTTCCAACTTGAACTAAAAAATAAAATTGTTGGAGGAACATAACAATATGCAACTGATTTTTACCCATAAAACTTTCTCTATTTTAGGTTTTTCCAATTTCTTCCAATGTTTTATGTTGATTTTTGTCAGCATGGTGCACATTACAATTTTGTACCAACGACTACCTTCCACTTAATCCAAGGTAAGTAAGCGGAGGCTCAGACTCGCTTATTCCTACTCACTTGGGCCAACTCCTCTGGGGGAATGGCGAGGTGTAACAAGGCAGCCGAAAAAGGCGTTGGTCATCCATGAAGAGGCAGAAGACAGAATACTTAGCAAAGGGCCAAGGCTGGGATCCTCGGTCAGTGTCCATACCGAGGGTCAGGAGCAGATATCACATGAACCGGAGTAGGCCTAATCCATCACGGGCAGGATGAGAATAATGTGGGAACAAGATCAGACACTTGAGGGCAAACAGGGCAAGGAATGAATGGAATACTGTTCACACAATTCACATAATCCAACAGAGAAGGCAGAGGGGAAATTATGTAGTGAATGGAGCAGGTTAAAACAGGCAAGAGACAAGTCAGCAGGAAAGACTATTAGCAAGATGAGAGTGAGTGATGGAGAAGTGAAGTATAAACATAACAGGATTCATAACACCTTGAAACATGTCCTGGGCCTTCATCTGGCCTCACCTCACAAAGAAGAGTCAAGGAGGCATCCAAACCAAATGCCTGAGCCACCTCAACCTCTCTTCTCTCATCCTTGTTGCCCTTGAGACTCCTCTTGATGTGGAGGAGAAGCAGCTTTACTCTGTCTCAAAGCGAGAGCCTGGACACCCTGTGCAGGAAACTCATGTCAGCTGATTGCATCCCTGAGTTTACAATCAGGTTGCTACCCAGAGTTCATGACGAAAGATGAGGGTCGGATTGTAGATTGGCTGTTAAATAAAGAACTTAGCTCAGCTCTCTCTCTTCACCACAATAGATTGGTACAGTGCTCACACCACTGCAGACAGTGCACCAATCTCTATACAGGCATCAAGACAGTGGGCAATAACTGAAGCCTCCTGCTTGAGATCAGTGATGATAACTCCAAAGCGGAAGAGTGCCCAACCACATTTGTGGACGCTGGTTCCAGAGTCAGAGCCGTGTGTTGAGGTGAGCCTGACTGTGTCTCTCAACCACGACCCTGAGGGGTGGATGAGTCCATCGCCCTGAAAAATGGGTGGCCATCCCACTGGCCCTCCCAAGAGAAGACCTCCATCCCCTTTATGTTATATTCAGTTCTCAAAAACCACCTTTCAATAACCTTCTTTAATCAAAACATAAATCAATCAATAAATTAATAATGAGTAAAACACCAAAGCATGGCCAGAGGCTGAATGGTCACAACATTACTCTGAATGAGTTGGAAAGTGAAGGAATGGATCGCTTTTCATCCAAACTTAACGTTTTTTACAAATTGGCATAGGTATTAATAAATAATTATTATTGAGCGTATTATTATTATTATTAATGGCACACTGTAACCAAATGGTCTATGCCAAATGTATGTTCTCGTTTTCATCCCTGCGGTCCGGATTGATGGCTTGTAGATCAAATCAGCCGCAGGAAGAAAATTCTGCAAGTGTCACATTTGATGCTCCAGGAGGACTGACTGCACTGCTCCTTCTGCTGTCTGTCTCTGTTCATGAGAGTCCATTTGTATCTGAGTCTGTGAGGCGGGGAACGGATAGGAGGGGTGGCTTTAACCCAAATGACCGATTACATAACATCCTAAAAAATAATTTAAAAAAATCACTACATACAGATAACAGAAAAATAAATAAATAAATCCCAAAAACAACGAATGAGTGAATGATACCAGTTCTCCCCACGCTGCTCTGCTCTTCGTGGGAATGAGGCTGATCGTTAAACCCTCCAGTCCTCAGAGTGGATTTAGGATCAATGAGAGAGAGAGAAGAGAGAGAGAGAGAGAGAGAGAGAGAAAGAGAGAGAGCAGAGTGGGGTGTCTGCGTGTGTATTTTAAGCCACAGCTGTTGAGCTACCCCCTCAAGTACGTGCTCCGACCCAGAGCGAAAGGCGGAGAGCCGAGAGGAGTTCACCGCTCTGCGCGTGTAAAAAAAAAAAAACCCAGCGGCTCCCGGATTTTGCTTCCAACTTTTCTGCGTTCCGCTCGTCTCGTCTCGTCCTTGTCGCATTCCTCAGAGCGTTTGGAATGACCACTTTTCCCGCCTGCGTCGCCTCCATGTCAGCATGGGAACTGCCGTGTCCAAAAGGAAGAATCTGAGAAACGATGCGATATCTTCTGTGGCAGCAAAAGTTAGGTGAGCGATCCTCGGAGGTGTCCACCTCTAATTGCTTCTGATTGCACCTCTCGGGAGGCTGCTGCTGCTTCTTCTATTCTTTTCTTTATTTTTTATTTTTTGTTTTGTTTTTGGTGTGTGTGTGGCCATGCATGCAGGTTTGACAGTCGGGTGACTTGATGAATGACCACTGCGCTATCCGGGGGTTTAGTCATCCTGCTTTGCAATGCGCATAGACGCTCCGTGCGCTTTGTCCCGTCTGTAGCCCCGGGGCGTGCGGCTGATCGGACAAGTGCTTTAAATCTCCCAGCGCTATCTCCTCCACTGCATTTGTAATAGAAACACGCAGATGGCCCTTTTTACTCTGTTGAGGCTGAGGCTCAGTCAGTCTCGATGGGGAGGAAGAGGATGCTCGCCTTTCCATGTTGTTCCGAATGAGGAGGCATCATTGTGTAACCAAAGTCATGCAGAGAGGCAAAGCGAGGACTCGCAGGAACCCTTTTTTTTTGCATTCTCACTCAGAAGATGCCCTATCTAGGCTGCCTTTCACATCCCAATATCAATGAATCAATCAGTCACCCAAAATCAACGCCGTCGTGCGCTGATCACCTTCCTCTGACAGTTACCCGAGTCGGGCACAGAGAGGGACTGCGGAGGTTGTAAATTCACAAAGGGAGCCAGGATGGACGAGAAACCCGTCTGAGCCCGGTCAGTGTTTTCATAAAAGACGCAAATAATTCACATTTAGCAGAAAGTACGACCGACGGCACGCAGGGGAAGGACCTGCGTCTCCACAGGCTGCATCCATCCATCCATCCCGCGCTGCGCTGCTTTGAGTTGGAGCTGCGAAGCACGTGTGTCTGTGTGTTCATGTATGACAGACGGGACAGATCTAGAATGAGAAAAAAAAAATCAAGCAGAGGGGGGAGTCCATAACAGGATCGACGTGATATGTAATTCTGTCGATGAATGACCTTCAGCTGTGCAAAGTCCAACATCCACACATGTGGGCTGATGTGATATTACGTCATTCCCTCTGTCTGTGTGTGTCACGGAGCAAATCCCATATTTGGTTTCATCTATGCGCCTTCAGGGCTGCGTGGAGTCTGTGCGCCACTTTGATGCATTCAGCTAACAAGTTACTCTGGCAGAGCAGGTGTTCACAGTCTCACCAACTTCAATGCATTTTATTCATATGTGACTGAGCAGCATTGCTGGGTGGTGGATGACTGGGAAGTGGATGTGAGATGAACGTTTGAAACTAATCATCTGGGAAGTGTGACGTGCATTTGTATTTGTATCCCCTGGACATAAAGCCAGGATCACAGTAGAATAGTTCATCAAAGCATACTCATATGTTAGAATGGCCTAGTCAAAGTTCCGACCAGAGAATCTGCACCAAGACTTGAAAGTTAATGCTCACACGTGCGTACAATCAAATTTGTCTGAATTTGAGCTGTTTTACAACACATAAGAGACAAATAAGTCTCCAGAAATGAAAAGATGGTAAAGAGATTCACAAAAGACTTGGAGCTGCAGAGGAAAGTGGCTCTACAGAGTGGTTCTCAAGGGGACTGAACATGCTTGTAGTTCACATTTTGTAGATTTGTTTATTTCCTTTGTTCTTTACTTATATACCAAACTTTTGGCTGGTTACTTATGTAAACTCCCAATGAAATATCTGTCTAAATTTGAAAAAAAAAGAAGCAAAAACCAAAATAAAAACCCTCAAGGGTTATGAATATTTTATGGCACTGCATTCATAGATCATCTAAGTCTTATGCTCAGGAAATCTGAGTTAAATCTGCAAAGATACTGACACTTAATGCTGTCTTCTATTAATTTGACAGGCATTTATTTACTCATTAGAAATGTAACTTCACCTTATTGTCACAATTTCTACTCTTTCAGAAGCGCATCTGTACAATTAGTATATTATTATATAGTTTGCACGTTGCTTACTATCTATAGTCTCCTATAAGATATCCACACAACGACATTAATCTTCAGTGAAACAACAAAATCAAAACATTTTTCTTTCCTGTGCTATTTCACAAATTCATTCCACAGGATGTGCTCTTCATTATTGTACATGCATTATGTTTTCTAAAATGCAGCTTTTCTCTTAACTTATAAACCTCCTTCCTTTTGGAAAATATATATATTTTCAAATATTTGTGGTATCTGATTATTTATTGCTCGCTACATAATTTGACCAGATTTGAATTTGACAAGATCCATATTTTTTTAAAAATATGGATCTTGTCAAATTATTTTAAAATAAATAAGGTGTAAATATCCCACCTTATTTACTGCTCATCTTTTGTAATGAGCAAAGCAGCAAGCTCTAAAGTGGAGTTTTATATTCCCCAAATCTCCACACAGTAATTCACGTCTTGAGGACCAGAGTTGGAAACCACTAGCCTAACATAAACTGACTGAATTATGTACCTTAGAATACACATGTGCATTAGTGACCCTTTTCTTTTCACTGTTTATGAGAAGTGAGGAGATTACTGAACAATGCCGGCTGCTTTGTCCTTAAGCTTTGAAAGCCATGTATGTCCCATATTGTTACCAGGAGGACCTTGCAGGAAAACTGCTGCTCCCTTGTATTGAAATAAATCAGTGGAGGTGGCATCTGGTCTGGAGAGATATTTAGCAATTTATTTTGGGGGCTTTTCTGGTCTTATCTGAAGAAAACATCAAGACAAACATTCTGAGAGTTTTTGGATGAACTGGAGAGTTTTTCAAGATGGATGGAAACAGATGCATTTAAAAGTGAACCCACTCCGATTGGTAGTTTTAAACGTTATAGCATAATGTGTTTCTTGTCCAGATTTCGTCCTGTGATTATCAAGACACAAACCCAATATCAAATTGGCGAAAGGTTTCATGTCTATACCTCATCTACCAGTATTAGGCATTTAAAACATCTACAGTAAATACACAAGGCTGAAATAATAATGAAAAAAAAAAACGTAGTTATTTGTGGACGGTCACTTTAAAGCTTAGAGATTGTTCTGTCTAATTACCTAAACAAGTAGTTTAGGTAATTGAGCTGAAAGTCACTTGTATTTTTTGCTTTTAAGTTCATCCTGGCATTACACATATTAATGGTGATTTTAACAAGGGAGTCTGTCAGGATTGGCTCACTTCATTAATTAAAGAGTTTGGCACATGCATGCTGGCTTTACTTACCAGCCCTGGAGTTTGTGGTTTGGTCTGCAGAGTTTTATCTCCAGTCCACTAAATAGTTTTTAATAGGTTTAATGCTGCAGGAAAGTGGTGGGAATACTGAGACTGCCGTTCCCACTGTTAAGTCAGCATGGTGTACCAGATTAAAAAGCACTCATCAGGATTATTATATCAAGCAATTACAAAGTGCTTGTCTTCATATGGAGGCTCATTTGAGGAAACAAGCTAATGTGAATTACAAAATTTTTTTGCCACAGACTGAAAACACTCAAGATTGCTTGGCTTTATGTGTGTAATTTTATGCACTTTTATGTATCTGCGAATATGAAACAGATCAGCCAAGACAAGAGAGAGGTTACATCTTATTTACACACCTAAATTCAGTTCTCCCAAGTGAGAAAACAAGCGCTTTGATCTGCCTCAGAGGAGAGCTGTGTCGTGGTTCGGATGAATGGTGGAGGACAACGGGGTTCATGAAACCGCGAGGGTGTGAAAAATGGCATGCGAGATGAAAGGGCTGGCTTTCACAGAGGGATGCAAATGAAATATTATGTCTTAGTTTATGCAGGTCAGCCACCTGGCTGACTTTGTTGTTGGTCTGCAGTCACAAACCTGAGAGCGTTACATAACTTTTTTGTTCTGCTTTCCACTGATCCTATTTGATAAAAAAGCATGCTCACGTGCAGACTTCCTTCTATTTATTTAAAAATATTTTTTTATAAACACTTCCATATTTGTGTGACCTGTATCTTCATTTATAGAAAATCATTGTAAGACATTCATCCTATTCTCTGCTTTGTTTTATCCTCTCTGCTTCAGTTAAGCAGTAATTATTGCTTTAAATCCGCTGAATGAGGTTGAATTTGGTTGATTGCAGTTTGAGAAAAAGAGGGTTCCAGCTGTGCTCAGTTTTTGTTGGTTTTTTTACTTTGAAATTGAGCCTATTCATTTTCAAATTACTGTCATTCTACAAAACAAATGGCAAATTTAACTTGCTGATTACGAAGACCTCTTAACACAAATGCACAAGTGTGTATAACAAGTCACCCATGTGGAACAATATTGTGGATTTCGGAATATTTCAAGTTTCATCATATTTTTTGGCTAAAGACATTTTGCAAATATGCAGATATAGTGTCTAGATCATAAGTACTTTATTGGTTCTGGCCATTATAGCTCTAATAAACAAAGACATATCAAGAATATTGTTACACTTTGTTTATATTTTCCAAATACACCATTATTAAAGTCCCATTCAGCTCAGAAATCTTTTTAGTCACAAAGACTTGGCTAAAGTAGCAATCACACAAATCAGAAGTGAATCAACCAGGGAAATACAATAAAACAGAATAGCTGGTAAAAAGATACCTATCTTAGAAAACCTGTTTGCTTGCTTTTAGTTTTTAGCTTTCAAGCAATTTCTCTACATAATCAAGAATGTGGTGACAGTGGAGAAGAACCAGTCCCTAAAATCACAGATCCAAAAGTTGTTTCAATGGGGAGGAACAACAGACACACATAAACATTTAACACTTTTAATGGAGCAGAAAATCAAAGGCGGTACACAAATGTCATTATAGCAATTAATCAGAAAATCACTCAGTTCTGGAAAGAACAGCAAAACACAGAAAAAACTGCACCAGGTGTACTTTTGATGACTGAGAAAAATAAAGAGAACTCTAAATTAATAAAGGCTATAAAATTACCTTTTTCTCGAAAGAAAAACAGCTACACACAAAATCTGAGCCAGGTGTACTTTCTATGATAAATAAAGTCTAAAAGAAGACACAAACATGATAGCAGCTCAGTCACAAAAATGTTTT